AGGCCCTGGGTTCGATTCCCCAGCACCACATAAGCAAAAAGAAAAAAGCCGGAAGTGGCGCTGTGTCTCAAGTGGTAGAGCACTAGCCTTGAGCTGAAGAGCTGAGGGACAGCGCCCAGGCCCAGAGTTCAGGCGCCACGACCGGACCCCAAAAAAAAAAAAAGAGAGAATGTGAGATTGTTGGAATTGCAGTTTGGGACTAGCCCAGGCAGGAAAAGTTTTCATCCTGGCACCAGTTTCTTACACCTCTTACCCTAATTACACAGGATGCCAAGGTCTGAGAATCAAGATTCAGAGGCAACCAGGTAGTCAAATCCTCAAGACTGTTATCTCCAATTAACCAGCAAAAGCTGGAGATGCAGTTGTGGCTCAAGTGTAAAGAGTTAACTATGAAGGAAGAAGCTGAGCAAGAGTTGGAGGCCCCAAGTTCAGGCCCCAGTGCTAGCACAGACACTTATAAAAATTGTTGAGACCCCTTTGAAAATGAAGAGCTGGATATAGTGGGATACACCTGTTATCCTAGCTACTAGGAACCCTAACAAAGGTAGATCTCACTTAGGTGCAGTTCCAGGCAAGGAATTCAGACTCTGTCTTAAAAATAATGGGTAAAAATCAGTCTGGAGTATGGCTTAGTGGTAAGAACACCTATCTAACAAGCACAAATTAAAATCTCAGTGCCATTGAAAAACAATAATGGTGCTGGGCACTGGTGTCTCACAATCTGTAATCCTACCTACTCAATGACATCTGAGGATCAAAGTTCAAGGCCAGCCTAGACAGGAAAGTCCAAGATTCTTATCTCCAAGTAATTACCAAAAAGCTAGAAATGAAAGAGCTATGGCTTAAGTGCTAGAGATCAAACCTTGAACAAAAAGGCTAAGGGGCAGCTTCTAGGTCCTGAGTTTATGCCTCAGTACTGGCACAAAAGTAGAAACCAGCTAGGTGCTGGTAGCTCATGTCTATAATCTTACCTACTTAGGAGGCTGACATCTGTGGATCACGATTGGAAGCCTGCCTGGACAAGAAAGTCCATGAGACTCTTACCTCCAATTAACCACCAAAAGTTGGAGGTGGAGCTGTGGCTCAAGTGGTAGAGGGCTAGCCTTGAGCAAAACAGCTCAGAGACAGCATCCAGGTCCTGAGTTCAAGGACTGGCACAAACAAAAATAAACACAAGCAAAACAATGCTTTAATAAACATAGGAATGCAGGGTATATTGATTTACTCTTTTTTAGATACATGCCCAATAGTCATAAGGTAGTTACATATTTAGGTTTTTGTTTTTGATTTGTCAGTAATGGCTCTTGAACTCTGGGCCTGGGTGCTGTTCCTCAAGGTGAGCTCAAGGCTCTTTAGCTCTTCATCTCAAGGCGAGCACTCTGCCACTTGAGTCACAGCGCCACTTCTGGTTTTCTCGTGGTTTATTGGATATAAGAGTCTCGCAGACTTTCCTGCCCAGGCTAGCTTTGAACTATGATCCTCATATCTCAGTCTCCTGAGTAGCTAGGATTACAGGTGTGAGCCACCAGTGCCAAGCTACATATTTGCTTTTTATGAGGAGCTTCCTTATTGATTTCTGTAGTGGTTGCATGAGTTTATATTCCCACCAGCAGTGTATGAGGGGTCCTTTACCCTCTTGCTGCATCCTGGCCAACATGTTATTCTGACTAGGATCAGATGCGATCTTAGTGTTCTTTTATTTTCTTTCTTCTTGATTTGTTCTGGTCCTGAGGCCTGAACTAAGGGCCTAAGGACTATCCTTTAGCCTTTTTGCTTAAAGCTGGTGGTCTACCACTTGAATCATAGCTCCACTTCCAGCTTCTGTGCTGGTTAATTGAATTTAAGAGAGTTTCCCAGACTTTCTTGCCCAGGCAAGAATCTCTGTCTTCAGATCTCAGCCTGCTGAGTAGCTAGGAGTACAGGCCTGAGCCACCGGTGCCCAGTTAGTTAAAAATAATCACTTAATTCTGTTTCTGTCATAAGGATAGACATAGATCAGTGGAACAGAATTTAAAGATAAAAAATAAACACATTTATGATAGGTTGATTTTTAACAGGTATGCAAAGAGCAGTTAATAGAAAAGGAATATTTTTTTCAGCAGACAGTGTTGGGATAACAGGAAGTCCATATTGCAGAAAAGCTCAACTAGAGATGTGGCTGTATGAGTGGAAAAAGCTGAGCGTGTGAAGCCCTGAGTTCAAGTCACAGTACAGGGGGAAAAATTGACTCAATTTTACCTTTCATAAGGGTGAATTTTATGGTATATAAAGTATATATCTTGGAGTTTTCAATTACCATTTCTTGCATAGGAAGCAGAAAATTTTTCTCAACTCTCCCTACTTTAATTTGTTATGATAAATCCTTAAAACAATATATCATTCTTTCTATATGTCTATCTTAATAAAATTATGGTTTTGAAATGTTAGTTTCAAAATGATGTGATTTTACTTAAAAGTTTTCAGACAAAACAAACCCAAATTGTTTAGAGGAAAGATCTTATGATTAAGCTAGGATGAAAAGATGATATGGAGAATTTTGAAGAATTATTCACTTAGTGGTTTCTTTTTCCTTCTCCTTTGGCTAGTCCATGGATGACAGTCTCATTGCATTCCGAACTCGGTCTAAGATGCCCCTGAAAGATGTTCCCCTTGGCCAACTCGAGGCAGAGCTTCAAGCTCCAGACATTACACCAGATATGTATGACCCCAATACAGCTGATGATGAAGACTGGAAGATGTGGCTGGGGGGACTCATAAATGATGATGTAGAGAATGAAGGTAAGTGATTTTTGTTTTTATTATTCATTTTATTATGTTTGATGAATATTTATTAGTTGGAAGCTTAATAAATTGAATTGTGGCCAGATATGGTGGTATATACTTGTAGTTTAAGCTACAAGCTTAAGCTATTGTTTAAGTTATTTGGGAAGCTAAGGCAAGAGTATCTTGGACTCAGAAGTTTGAGGCCAGCCTATGTGATATAGAAAGACTTTCAAATGAGAGAAAGGGAAGAGGGAGGTGAAGAGAGAGGGAGGGAGGATTATGGAGGCTAGGGTGTGTGATTATCTTTACGAGGGCTCAATTCACAGCACTAGGAAAAAAAAAAAGGAATGATCCCATTCTTTTAAAATTTGTAGTCAGCTATCTGGATATTCCCAAGTACCTTTTTTTGTTTTTTATGGAGACTTCCTTTTTTTTTTGGTCGGTTGTGGGGCTTGAACTCTGGGCCTGGGCTCTGTCCCTCAGCTCTTCAGCTCAAGGCTAGCACTCTACCACTTGAGCCACAGCACCACTTCTGGCTTTTTCTGCTTATGTGGTGCTGAGGAATTGAACCCAGGGCCTCATGCATGCAAGACAACACTCTACCACTGAGCCACCTTCCCAGCTCCACCTTCCCAGCCCTTATGGAGACCTCCTTGTATAGCCATGATTGCTAATAGGAAAGGGAAACCAGCAAGGCTTGTCTGTGCAGACTCTTGGTCTCTGTAGTGTTTCTTCACATAGGTGTTCTGAGTTAATTTAATTTGTGTTTAACTGATAGTTGCCTTAATTTGGTTGTTCCCTCCTGCCACACTCCCCAACCCACCCACCCCTCTTGTTTTTTTCAAGTATTCTCTTGTGAGTCTTGAATACTAAGGATCCTCCTCCTGCATAAATACATAATTTTATATGTGATTTCACAAGGTTTCACAGCTTCATCAAAAGAACATTGTTTTAGTAAGGGTGTTTATTGATGAAAGTAAAAGAATTCTAAGTCCATCTTTCTGAGGGCAAATGAAAAGAGACTTGAGGAAAAAATAGCAAAACCTGCAATGGAACCTAAGCATCATAGGATCTTTCTTCCTCTTTCTGTGTCACTCAAGCTTCATTTTCAATATTTTCTTTTTCTTTCTTTTCTTTTTTGTCGATTGTGGGGCCTGAACTCTGGGCCTGGACACTGTCCCTCAGCTCTTCAGCTCAAGGATAGTGCTCTACCCCTTGAGCCACAGTGCCACTGCTGGCTTTTTCTGCTTATGTGGTGCTGAGGAATCGAACCCAGGGCCTCATGCATGCAAGGCAAGCACTTTACCACTGAGCCACCTTCCTAGCCCTCTTTCTTTCTTTTCTTTTCCTTTGTTCCTTCCTCACCCCTCTTTCTTTCTCCTTTCTTCCTTCTCCTCCCCTTCCCTTCTTCCCTCTCCTCTCCCCTCCCTCTTTCCTTGTACTGGGGTTTGAACTCAGGACCTCCAGGTTGTTAGGCAGGTCCTCTGCCATTTGAGTTACTCTGCCAGCCCTGTTTTGTGTTGATTATTTTCAAGGTAAGGCCTCACTTCACACTCTGGCTGTCCTGGACTGTAACTCTCCTATTAGTGCTTCCTTTTGTTGCTGGGATAATAGACATATGTCATTGCACCCAGCCATTGTGCTTCTGCTGGACAGGAAGGTGCCACAGTGCCCAGTCATTGGTTGTGATGGCATCTGGCTACTTTTCTGTCCAGACTGGCCTCATATCATGATCCTCAGATCGCTACCTCTCATGCAGCTAGGATTACAAGCTTATAACCACTGTTGCTTATTCAAGTTATTTTTCTTTAAAGTTGATACTCCATGTATTCTTGCTTTGACAATCTTAAGAGTTTCAGTTTGAGAAAATCGAGGGGAACAAATTGGCTTGATCTGATTGTGATGCCTAATCTCTTGATCTCTTGGTGTTGGGTGGAACTGATAGGGTTACTGTTTTAGCATGCAGTCCTGTGATTGACAGCACCTCATAGAGCAGTGCAGTTGGAGTATGCAGTTACCCAGAAGAATAGTTTTACAACATTGGGGAGGATAGGTAAAAAATTGGATGGAAATAGAATCAGTAGGTAGGTAGGCAAAGCAAGGAAGAAGTCAGGGTAAGTAAATAAAAGAAAACAATGAGTTCATGAGTTGGATGTGCTAGTGTTTGCCTTTAAACCCCACCTACTTGGGTTAGAAAGCATTGCACTTTGAAGCCAGCTGGGCAAAAAATAATTTAGACTGAATTAAAAAGCCAGGTATAATGGCTCAGGTCTGTAATCTGAGCTATTTGAGAGGCAGAGGTTAGGAGGCTCACTGCCAGAAGCCAAGCGTAAGACACTCTTTGAAAAAAATTAAAGGAAAAAGGGCTGGGATATGACTCAAGAGTTAGATTGCTTGAGGACTTAAGCTCAAGCTCAGTATTACAAATGAGTATGTCCTTGAGTATACTTTTTATGATACTATTGATTATATTGTACATCAGTTAGCAATTTTTTTTTTTGCAAATCTTGGGGCTTGAACTCAATGCCTGGTCACTTCTTTTTTTTTTTTTTTTTGTCAGTCGTGAGGCTTGAACTCTGTGCTTGGGTGTTATCCCTGTGTTCTTCAGCTCAAGGCGAGCCACAGCACCACTTCCGGTTTTCTAGTGGTTTATTGGAGATAGGAGTCTCATGGACTTTCCTGCCCGGACTGGCTTTGAACCACTATCCTCAGATCTCAGCCTCCTGAGTAGCAAAGATTACAGGCATGAGCCACAGGCGCCTGGCTTGTTCCTGAGCTTCTTTTGCTCACTTCCACTAGAGCCTCAGGGCTACTTCCAGCTTTTGCTGTGTGGTACTGAGGAATCAAACCCAGGGCTTCATGCAGGCTAAGCAAGCACTCTGCCACTAAGCCATATTCCCAGTCTTTAGCAAATATTTATGTAGTACTTTTTTTTTGGGGGGGGGCGGCTTGAACTCAGGGCCTGGGCACTGTCACTGAATTCTTTTGCTCTACCATTTTGATCCACAGTTCCACTTCTGGCTTTTGAGTGGTTAATTGGAGATAAGAGTCTCTTGGGGACTTTTTCTGCCTGGGTTGACTTTGAACCTTGATCCTCAGATCTCAACCTCCTCAGTTGCTAGGATTATAGACATGAGTCACAGGCATTGCACTATGTTCTGTGATCTATAAAGGAATATAATCATTTAGTCAGGGAATAAAATCTAACAGGGTGCCTGACCCATTGTTAGGTTCATAATACTATTATTATTGTTGTTATTATTACTATTATTTTGCCAGTTCTGTGCTTGAACTCAGGGTGTGGGTGCTGAGCTTGAGCTTCTTTTGCCCAAGGATAGAGCTCTACCACTTAAGCCACAGATCCACTTCCAGCTTTTTTTTGGTAGTTTATTGGAGATAAAGAGTCTTACAGACTTTCCTGCCCAGGCTGGCTTTGAACCATAAACTTTACATCTCAGCCACCTGAGTAGCTAGGATTACAGGTGCAAGCCATGAGGACCCAGCTAATACACTTTATTTTTATTTATTTTTGGGTTGTCCAGGCTGGCTTCAAGCGATCCTTCTGCATCAGCCTCCCAAGTGTGCATGTTACCACGCCCTGCTTGTTGTAAGGTTTTAGAAGAGGGAAAGATAATTCCTATTAGGATGATCAGCTGTAGCTACATGAAAGAGGTAGGTAATTGTGATGGACTTTTGAAAGATTTTGAGAAAAACAATGAACAGGGAGAAAAAAGATGAAGAGGAGACAGGTGGATGGAGGTGATGTGCAATCATATGTAACTGGGTTCTATAAGCTTTTATCCCCCCCAGAGGGTTGTTTTTTTTTGTTTTTTGTTTTTTTTTTCTGTTGTGAGAACAGTAGGAGTAAATGCTTGGTCTAGATAAATCAAATACTGTATAAAGAAAACTACTAAAGCCCCTCTAGAAGAGAACATTTTCCTACCCAAAAATAACCACTGATACCCAGTACAAAAACAACAAAACAGAAATAACCACTGATAATAGTTGGAGGAGCATCTGTAACAGTTTACAATTATATAGTTTTGTTTACCTCTTAGTTTTACATGTTTAGGAATAGGAAGGATTGAATTCTCATGCTATATTTCAATTTAAGGGTTTTCTCAGATAGGAAAGAGAGCTAATATTCATCTTACCTTTTTTTTTACTCTCTTGCAAAGGTGATTATAAATAAGAAAATGCACCCAATGGTGTAAATAGTAAGAGATGAAATTTGAAGCTGATTGTTGACTTATCAGCTCCTTAATAATCAGTAGTTGATATGTTATCCTTTTAGTATTTCTGATATTAATCTAAGCTTCTGGAACCCGATGAGAAGAATCTCAGGAGGAATATAAAGCTTTCCTCCAGGAAAACATATGTACACTTTTACATATACACATACTATGTACATACATACATACATATATGCATGCATGCATGCATATCTCTTGGATGACATTTATTGACATTTCTTTCTTATTTGCTACTCAGACTTGAAATCAGGGCCTCAGGCTAGCACTTTACTACTTGAGGCACCTTTTTAGCCTGTTTTTTTGCTGGTTATTTTGGAGATGGAGTCTAGTGAACTTTTTCTGCCCTGGCTGCCCTCAAATCTTAATCTTCCAGGTCTCAGACTCCAGAATAAGCAGAATTACAAACAGGATTCACTGGATTGTCATTTCTTTTTTTCTACTAGCCCACTGGAAAAATCTTTGAGATCAAGATTAAAAGCCTCCACCAGATGCTGGTGACTCATGCCTCTAATCCTTTCTAGCTGCTCCAGAGACTAAGATATGAGGATCTTAGCTCTGAGCCAGCTCAGGCAGGAAAGTCCAGGAGACTCTTATCTCTAATAAACTACTCAGAAAAAGCTGGAAGTAGCACTGTGGCTCAAGTGGTAGAGCACTAGCCTTGAGGCTCAGGGACAGTGCCCAGGTCCTGAGTAAGATCCCAGAGAAAAAATGTCATTGTCTTGTTCAATATTAGGATTACTTTGTTATACTACTAGGACTAGAAACCATTTTAATATTCTCAGAGTATATCTCAAGAGAAGTTAAGCCACTTTTTATTTTAAAACTTTTCAGAAGCAAAACCTACTTCTTGTTTTTGACAGTAAGTTGAGTTTCTCGAGCCTTATCAGGAGCAGAAATTTTGCTGCTGTCATTTTGCCATCACCTTTGTTCAAAGAGGGCTGGGAAGGTGGCTCAGTGGTAGAGCACTTGCCTTGCATGCATGAGGCCCTGGGTTCGATTCCTCAGCACCACATAAGCAAAAAGAAAAAAGCCGGAAGTGGCGCTGTGGCTCAAGTGGTAGAGCGCTAGCCTTGAGCTGAAGAGCTGAGGGACAGCGCCCAGGCCCAGAGTTCAGGCCCCACGACCGGATCCAAAAAAAAAAAAAAGAAAACCTTTGTTCAAAGAGCCGAGGAATGATTAGGGAGAAAAGGATATAGAGAGTTGTTTATCAATTGAGGAGCATAGAGCAGTGTTTCTCATAGGACTTTTAGAACCTAAATCAGAAATAAGGAGTATAAGGATGTGTGTGTGTTGGTAATATTTATTGAGGATACAGATCCAGGGTCATACCTCCTGAGTCAGAATTTAATGAGTATTGTATAGGAATCTAGTTCTTATATATCCTAAAGATTGGAAAATAACTGAGCATGTATTGTACATCTGTAATCCCAGTATTATGGAGCTTGAGGCAGGAGGATCTTTGAGTTCAAGGCCAGCCTGGGCTACTTAGTTCTGACCTCCAAACCAATAAAGAAAAAAAAAAGCATGGTGGCTGGGCTCTGGTGGCTTATCCCTGTATCCCTGTAAGCTACTTAGGAGGTTGAGATCTGGGCAGGAAAGTCAGTAAGACTGTTCGCCCCCATTAATTACAAAAAAAAAAAAAAAAAAGCTGGAAGTGGAATTGTGTTCAAGTGGTAGAGTGCTAGCCTTGAGCCAAAAAGCTTATGGACGACACCTAGGTCCTGAGTTCAAGCCCCAGGACTGACAAAAAACAAGAAAAACACAACCAACCAAAAAGCTATGTTGTAAAATACGAGTTTAGAAGAAGTATGAATGTTAATGAAGATTAAGGAAATGAATTGATGGTTAAGAGGAAGGTGGAAATGCTCTCTTTAACGCTGAAAAATTTTCTTTTTTATGTGTCCTGAGGACAGATTAGGAAATGAAATACAGACCAGATGCTGGTGACTCATGCCTGTAATCCTAGCTACTCAGGAGGATGAGATCTAAGGATGGTGATTCAAAGCCAGCTTGGGCAGGAAGTCCATTAGACACTTCTCTCCAATTAACCACCAAAAATCTGAAAGTGGTGCTGTGGCTCAAAGTGGTAGAACGCTAGCCTTGAGCAAAAATTGCTCAGAGACAGTGCCCAGGACCCAAGTTCAAGCCCTACAACCAAAAAAAAAAGAAAGAAAAGAAATACACACACACACGCACACGCACACACACACACTGCCCAGGACCTAAGTTCAAGCCCTACAACCAAAAAAGGAAAGAAAGAAAGAAAGAAAAGAAACACACACACACACAGAGCCAATGATAAAAATGGATGTGGCACCTAGATCTATCAGAAGGATTTACTGGGGACTGGTAAATAGGAAATGATGCTGAATATGAGATGATAGTACCCAACTTTTGTTACATCATGATCTCTTATAACATCACATATAGTCACCTATTTTTATATGTACCCAGTACCATTTTTTTTTGGCGGGGGGCTTGTCCTGGGGGCTTGAGGCCTGTCCCTGAGCTTTTTTTTTTGGTCGTTTGTGGGGCTTGAACTCTGGGCCTGAGCACTGTCCCTCAGCTCTTCAGCTCAAGGCTAGTGCTCTACCACTTGAGCTACAGAGCCACTTCCAGTTTTCTAATGGGTTATTGAAGATAAGAGTTTCACGGACTTTCCTGGCCAGGCTGGCTTTGAACCTTGATCCTCAGATCTCAGCCTCCTGAGTAGGATTACAGGTGTGAGCTTTTTTTGTTAGTGCTCTACCACTTGAGTTACAGCTTACTTCCAGTTTAGTGATGGTTAATTGAAGATACAAGTCTCATGGAGGGGCTGGGAAGGTGCTTCAGTGGTAGAGTACTTGCCTTGCATGCATGAGGCCCTGGGTTCAATTCCTCAGCACCACATAAGCAGACAAGCCAGAAGTGGCACTGTGGCTCACGGGTAGAGTGCTAGCCATGAGCTGAAGAGTGACAGCGCCCAGGCCCACAGTTCAGGCCCTGTGACTGAAAAAAACAAAAAAGTCTTACAGAGCCAGGCACTGATGGCTCATGCCTGTGATCCTAGCTACTGAGGAGGTTGAAATTTGAGGATCATAGTTTAAAGCCAACCCAGGCAGAAAAGGCCATGAGACTCTCCAATTAACCACCAGAAAACTAGAAGGGGAGCTGTGGCTAAAAGTGATAGAGTGCTAGCCTTGAGCACAAAAGCTCAGGGACAGCACCTAGGCCCTGAGTTCAAGCCCCATGACTGACAAAAAGAAAAAAGAAAAAATGTCTCATGGACTTTCTTGCCTAGTCTAGTTTTAAAATGTGATTGTCAGATGTCAGTCTCCTGAGTAGCTAGGATTACAGGTGTAAACCATTGGTGATTGGCCTTTCAGTACCATTTAATATGTATATATAGTATTACAAGTCAGAGTCTTATTTTCAGGAAATAATTAAAGAGAGGGTATTTAGGAAAGGCATACTAAGATCAACTGGGTAGATGCTAACTTAATTAGTTTAAAAAAGTAGTTCAGAGGGCAGATTGATTCTACAACCAAGGTAAAAGCTAAGAAGAACTTAGAAGAAATCTCTTAAAAATAATTTTTTTTGAAGTGGCGCTGTGGCTCAAGTGGTAGAGCGCTCACCTTGAGCTGAAGAGTGCAGGGACAGCGCCCAGGCCCAGAGATCAAGCCCCATGAACAACAACAACAACAAAATAGTAATATTTTTTTTCCCTCATATTTGCCAAGTGGGTACTCTGAAAAATATTGGCTGACTTACTTGTGTGGTGTGGGCAGAAGCTGTCTGTTACAGTTCTTACACACAAGTAAATGCGTCCAAACTTGTACACACTACCCATATGTCATAGGCCTTTTCTACAGCTTTCATTTCTCACCAGTGTATGTAAAGAACATTTGGCAATGAGACTTCCTTAGAGCACACATACTGTTAGATTAGAAAGTAAGGAGAATTTTTGTAAGTGAGAGAAGTCCCTAATAGATAAAATGAACTTGGTATTTAAATAGCTATCTATCCATAAACAATGCAAATTAGAGTTAATCAGTATAAAATTTCCAACTACTGTGTATAAAAATGTATATATAAGCTACATGCTGGTAGCTCAGGCCTGTAATAGTACCTACTTTGGAGGCTGTGATCTGAGGATTGAGGTTCAAAGTCAGCCTAGGCAGGAGAGTCCATGAGCTCTAACCACCAAGAAATCAGAAGTGGAGTTATAGCCATCTCAACTGGTAGTGCTGGACTTGAGCAATAAACCTCAGGGACAGTGCTTAGGGCCTGAGTTCAAGCCCCAGGACTGGCGCATACACAAAAAATTGTCTATAAATCTGGTCCTAGCTTCTATGAATGTTGAGCTAGGATAGTTTTTTAAACATAGCCTGGGCAATCTTATGAGAACTTGTCTCAAAACAAACAGCTATGAGCTGGTTACTCATGCCTGTAATACTACATACTCAGGATGCTGAACTGAGACTCACAGTTAGAAGCTAGTTTGGGCAGAAAAGTCTGTGAGACCCTTCTTATCTCTAATAAATGGCCAAAATGCTGAAAGTGGCTCAAATGGTAGAGTGCTAGCCTTAAGCAAAAAGAACTTAGGGATAACAACAAGGTTCTAAGTTCAAGCCCCAGTAGGCTGTGCAGTCATTAACTTGCAAAAATTTCTTGTAGTGCTAAGAATAGAATTCAAGGCTTCAGGCATATTAAGCAAAATTTCTATTACTAGGCTATACCTTCGAACCTAAATTATGGGAGTAAGGTGATATTTTTCCTCACATATCCTTAAACCAGTTTGATCTTAAGAAAATTTTTTATATATTATACTAACCATTAGTCACATGTGACTTTTGAGAAGTTGAAATATAGCTAGTGTTGAGGAACTGAATCCTAAACTCCAATAGTGAAAAAAAATTATATTGTTAACATTAAAGAAAATTAAGGTGCAGATGATATGGCTCAGTTTGTCTCACATACATAAGCCTTGGACTCTATCTGTAGCATATCATTCTTTTATTTAGTTTTAATATGGCACAGATAGCTTTTACAAAAAAGTGTTTTTTCATGAGATGCACTACTCAAAGTGAGATTAATAAGATAAATTTTATGTTCAGTTTTCTGGCTTTTGATGCATATTGAGAGATTTATTTGAAGGAAGGAGGCAAACTGACTTTAATTAGAGAAGTAGATGAGATGATCCAGCGGTGAGAAATGACCCACATAAAGGCATTAGGAAAAAAGATAATGTTTTACTTAACAAATTAAGAAATAGGATCTTAATTGGAATAGATGGTTATGGTGTTGGAATCTTAATTGTACAATGTAGTATTGAAAATCTTAAATTTTTTTCTAAATGAATTTGAACTTGGGAGTAAGTATCTAAAACATTTTTCCCCAGATGAAGCAGATGATGATGATGATCCAGAATATAATTTCCTGGAAGATCTTGATGAACCAGATACAGAGGACTTCCGTACTGATCGAGCAGTGAGAATCACCAGTGAGTCTGTTTACTATGAATCCTGCTCTTGTCTGCTCTACTTCTTTGTTTACTTTGTAGATTTTTGGGGATGAAGTTTGCAGCCCACCAAGATAGGACATTTAAGTTTTCTCTTTTTGTTCATTTCTGTAAGTATTTAAAATTAGGTATATATTTAGAAAACTGTCCATTATTTATTTGTATATCTCAAAACTGTGTATTGAGTTCTTACTATTTGGAAAAGTTTACTTGGAATGACAAGATGAACTGAGCCAAGGCTTCTGCTCTGGGGACAGTGAGCTTGGTAAAGGTACAAACAAAAAGATTTGTAATACAAAGTATAGGTGCTAAATGAGTTATATGGAAGGTATACCATTTACCTAACAGAAGTTGTGCTCTCCTAGTATATAGAGTAGTATGGGAGCTTGGGATGTTCAGGCTTCTAAAAGCATAGGTAATTTTTGTTGTTGGTTTATTTTTGCCAGTCATGGAACTTGAACCTCAGGGGTTGGGTGCTGTCCCTGTGTTTCTTTGCTCAAGGTTGTGCTCTACCACTTGAGCCATAGTACCACTTCTGGCCTTTTTTGAGTAGTTTATTATTATGGACATTCTGCCTGGGCTGGCTTCAAATTGGGATCCTCAGAGCTCAGCCTCCTGAGTAGTCAGAGGATTATAGGTGTGAGTCATCGGCACCTGGCTCAGTAGTGTTTTTTAAATGAATGCATGAAGGGTTGATATGAAGATTTTTGTCATACTGTCTTATTGGAAACAGAATATACTTGTGAATACATTTGTGTCTGTAGAGTTCTCCCTTATTGCAAAATGAAAATAATTTCTGCCAGCAACGCATTTTTTTTTTAACTTTTTTTTTTCCACAGAAAAGGAAGTGAATGGGCTAATGGAAGAGCTATTTGAAACTGTAAGTAATTTTCCTGGAATGAGAACAAGGGATGATGAGACAGCGATCCTCAGATCTCAGCCATCTGAGTAGCTAGGATTACAGGCATGAGCCACTGGTGCCTAATTGAGACTTCTTTCTTAGCATAATAATTATTGCAAATGTAGGGTTATGGGAGCCCTGAAGTGAAAAATGTTCCAGTGCAGGTGCATTCTGGGTGTAGCATTATTAAAATTCTGTAATCTGCTGTTTATACTTAATTTGTCATTGCTGGAATGACTTACATAAGTCCATTCTTCAGGAAGATATTCTGTTTGTCCACAGTTCCAAGATGAAATGGGATTCTCCAATAAGGAAGAAGATGGCCCAGAAGAGGAGGAACGTGTGACTGAAACTCGGCCTAACTTTAATACTCCACAAGCCTTACGGTAGGCTGGCTAAAGATCTTGAGGTTTAAAATGGAGGAAGTAGGTTTTTTTTTTTTTTGTTGGTCGTGGGGCTTGAACTCTGGGCCTGGGCGCTGTCCCTCAGCTCTTCAGCTCAAGGCGAGCGCTCTACCACTTGAGCTACAATGCCACTTCCGGTTTTCTGGTGGTTTATTGGAGATAGGAGTATCACGGTCTCTCCTGCCCGGGCTGGCTTTGAACCGAGATCCTCAGATCTCAGCCTCCTGAGTAGCTAGGATTACAGGCGTGAGCCACCAGCACTCGGCGGAAGTAGGTATTTTTGATAAGGTTTTTAGAATCATGAATAATTTCCCAACTTCAACTAGCTTCTGTTACTATTGTATGGGTGAAGAACTCTGGGGGAGTTAGATGTTAAGTGGAGTCTCCTTGTTACGGGACAGTGCAGCTACAGATCAAGCTGTAACTGTTTGGGAAAGGAGAAAAAACAGTAGCTGGCATCCATAGCAGCTTCTCTAGGTGAGTGGTTCTGGAGAAGTATGTAGGACTCCATGTGGCCAGCCACAGAAACTACACTAAATTATAATGTTCATTATGTCTCCTTACTTGTCATTAACATCTGGTAGAGGATCTGAAAGGTTTTTACTCTCCAAGGCATTAATTGAGCAAACCATGAAGCACCTGCAGCACTGATCTTTTTAAATGAAGTTGGAACCATCCAGAAAATGGAGGCTTTAATTTTCCCTGCATTTTTTGCTGAGGGTTTAAATCTACATTTTATTTTATTATAATCCATAGGTGCATACAATAAAGGCTAGATGACTAGAGGTCAGGATGCAGTGTGTGCCATGGGTAGAACAAAGCAAAATCAATAGACCTATAGCTTCTCATTAGTCATGTTTTTTTTGTTTTTGTTTTATTTTGTCAGTTGTGGAGCCTGAACTTTGGGCCTGGGCGCTGTCCCTCAGCTCTTCAGCTCAAGGCTAGTGCTCTACCACTTGAGCCACAGCGCCACTTCCAGCTTGTTCAGCTTATGTGGTGCTGAGGACTCGAACCCAGGTCCTCATGCATGCAAGGCAAGCACTCTACCACTGAGCCACCTTCCCAGCCCTCTAGTCATGGGTTTTAACTAAACAACATTAGTACCCAAGTAGAGAACTTTGGATACATTTGAAAGCTAGGCCTTCAAATCATCCACTTAAAGAATAAAAGATGATAAAATAAACTTATAAAAACCAGTAATAGCTGGGTGCCGGTGGCTCATGCCTATAATCCTAGCTACCCAGGAGGCTGAGATCTGAGATTGCAGTTCAAAGCCAGCACAGGCAGGAAGGTCCATGAGACTCTTATCTCCAATTAACCACAAAACTAGAAGTGGCACTGTGGCTCAAGTGGTAGAGTGCCTTGAGCTGAAGAGCTCAGAGACAGTGTCTAGGCCCAGAGTTCAAGCCATACTACTGATTAAAAAAAAAAACAAAAAAAAAAAACAAAAAAAAAAGTAATACCTTTCAGACTCCATTGTAACAAATACTACAATGGAACTGCACTAAAAATCTCAAGATTACCAAGACAGTATTTGGCCCACTTATTTCAAGTAATACTTCATAGAACATAATTTTGGTATAAATATAGGTTTGGTATAAATATAGCTTCTTGGGAAGCTATAGGTTTTGATTTACAAACATATTCTGGTTCCACCAATCAATTTTTTTTTTTTTTGGGGTCCAGTCGTGGGGCCTGAACTCTGGGCCTGGGCGCTGTCCCTCAGCTCTTCAGCTCAAGGCTAGCGCTCTACCACTTGAGCCACAGCGCCACTTCCAGCTTTTTTCTTTTTGCTTATGTGGTGCTGAGGAATCGAACCTAGGGCCTCATGCATGCAAGGCAAGCACTCTACCACTGAGCCACCTTCCCAGCCCTCCACCAATCAATTATGTATGTATATTTTTAAAATTGGGAATTAAGAGCTAGGTGTGCTGGCATAACCATGTACTTCTTTTACTCTGGATGCTACAGTAGGAAGATCATGAAGTCAAGCTCATTCTGGACTACAGAACGAGTTCAAGACTAGCCTGGGATATATAGCAAGAGATACTACCTCAGAAAAAAGTCCCCTAAAACAAAACATAAACCTTAAAAACCTTCCTGGACTTAGCTCCATAGGCTGGCTTCAAACAACAGTCCTCAGATCTCAGACTTCTGAGGAGCTAGGATTATACTCTTGAGCCATCAGCCCCTGGCATGATATTTTCATTGAAGGTAGTATGGTAATACTCAACATTTTGTTCATCTAAACTATCAGGCATTTTAGCATATTTTCTTCTTCATTCTAGAAAGGTTTTGACTTTTTAAGGAAGGAAGTCAGGATAGCTGAATGGATAGGTAGATGGATAAGCAAGACCTGGGCTCGGAGTAATGGGTAAATTAGCAATCAAATATTTGTATCCTGTATTACGGTTAAGAACAAGTCCCAGAGTAATATGGACATCAGGATGGTGCAAGAATGAGCTTCTAGTAGGTCCTAGCAGATATTTCTCTGCTCCTGGATTTTTATTTAATGTCCTATGTATTAATGTATTATTTAAAGGTGTGATTGTAGAACAATAGTGTGTGACATAATTCAGATTGTGTGTGTGTGTGTGTGTGTGTGTGTGTGTGTGTGTGTGTGTGTGACTTAAATGCAGGGTATAGGCTCTGTACTTTAGTTTTTGTGCTCGAGGCTGGTGCCCTATCACTTGGTCCATAGTTCCACTTCTAGCTTTTTGGTGGTTAATTGGAGATAAACAGTCTCATAGACTTTCCTGCATAGGCTGGCTTTGAACCTTAATCCTCAGATCTCAGCCTCCTAAGTGGCTAGGATTATAGGTATGAGCCGCTAACACCTGGCCAGAATATTTTTTGTGAGAGATGTTGGTAGTACTGAATCTAGGGCCTTAATTAAGCATTCTAGGCTCACACTCTACCACTCATAGTTGCTGGATTATGTTATTTATATCTATTCTATCATTTTAGGAAAGTATTTGGTTAAGCCTTGTATTATTGGTTAAATGAGATTTAAGGATTAACAGTAAATGGACATTTTTCAGTTTCTTTCTTTCCTTCTTTTTTCTTTTTTTTGGTCAGTTTTGGTGCTTGAACTCTGGGCCTGGGTGCTGTCCCTAAGCTCTTCAGCTCACCCTACCACTTGAGCTACAGTGCCACTTCCAGTTTTCTGGTGGTTCATTGGAGATAAGTCTCATGGACTTTCCTGCTCAGGCTGGCTTTGAACTGCAATCCTCAGATCTCAGCCTCCTGAATAGCTAGGATTACAGGTGTGAGCCGCCGGCTCCCTGCTTAGTTTCTTTTAGTATACCATTACAAAGAATATATTGGATATATTGTGAACTAAGGGACTGATCAGATTCATTCATCTTCCTAATGGGGATAGGTTTGAGGAACCACTTTCGAACTTGCTAAATGAACAACATCGGACTGTGAAGGAGCTACTTGAACAACTAAAGATGAAGAAATCTTCAGCAAAACAACATCCAGAGGCAGAGAGGCTTAAGCCTCAGAGTGAGAAAGTTCACCAAACTCTGACTCTAGATCCAGCACAGAGGAAGAGACTCCAGCAGCAAATGCAACAGGTAAGACTGTTCTTGGTGTTATGGCTGGATCATCTCATGGCCTGGCACTAAATCCAAAAACGAGTGGCTTTGTAAAAGTCAGGATAGCTGTCCTATTACCTGTCGAAATCATGGATACCATAGAAGCTTCATGTCAGTTATGGTTCATGTAGAAATTTAGAAGGACCCCAAGTGTATTCAGAATTGGAGACTTCATTCTGAAATGTACTGGCATCCAGGACCAGACAAAATCTTTTCCTTTCTCTAGTCTGAGGTTAAACTTCTTCTGTCAAGGTCCTACGTTGTTCTTATAGTATCTCCAGAAAGCAAAATTTGTGTGATGAATTTGAAACATCTTGGTAAGATGTCTTTGTGTTCATGAATGTTTTAATTTCTTTTCCTCTCCAGCATGTTCAGCTATTGACACAAATTCACCTTCTCGCCATCTCCAACCCCAACCTGAGTTCAGAGGCCAGTACCACCAGAATGTTTCTTGTAAGGTTCTAAATATCCCTAACTCTATACACTTGAGTATGAAGTTAGCTTGGCAAGTCATTCCTCACATTTAATGTTACTCACTCTTCATTGTCTACATGTATTTTCTCCAATATTTTTGGTCACTGCCTGCTTTGTCCTATGGCTTCTTTTATTTACTGACAGAATATTACTCACAAATTCCAAGGAAATCAGGAAAACTGTCCTTCACATTCTTACTGTGTTACCATCTCCATCTTTGGATCTACCCTGACATTTTCTTTTTTTTTGGAGGGAGGTGGCGTACCAAGTTTGAACTCAGGGCTTCATGTAGCTTGGCTTGTTTGCTTGCTCTCTCAGCTAATTTTCTACCCCTTGAGCCATATCTTAAGACTGGCTTTTTGCTAGTTTCTTTGGAGATGTAATCTTAAAGATTTTTCTGCCTGTGCTAGCTTTGAACCATGATATTTTAGATCTGATTCTCTTAGTTAACTAGGATTATAGATGATAACCCCCCAGTACCTAAGTGGTACTGATACTGCTTTAGATATTCACTTATAACTGCTTTTCTTTTTTTTTTTTGGTCAGTCGTGAGGCTTGAACTCTGGGCCTGGGCGCTGTCCCTCAGCTCTTCAGCTCAAGGCTAGTCCTCTTCCACTTGAGCCATAGCGCCACTTCTAGTTTTCTGGTGGTTATTTGGAGATAAGAGTCTCACAGACTTTCCTCCCCAAGCCGGCTTTGAACTGCCATCCTCAGATCTCAGCCTGGCTGCTTTTCATTTATGCTTATGAAATTTTAAAGAATTATGCAGAAGGGTTTATAAATTTTAAATTTGAGCCAGGCCCTGGGGGCTGACGCCTGTAATCCTAGCTACTCAGGAGGCCGAGATCTGAGAATCATGGTCCAAAACAAGGTCAGGCAGCAAAGTCTATGAGACTTAGCTCCAATTAACCCCAAGAAAACCAGAAGTGGTGCCATGGCTCAAAGTGCTAGCCTTGAGCAAAGGAGCTTAGGGACAGCACCCAGGCCCTGAGTTTAAGCCCTGACCAAAAATAAATAAATAATTGAACTAGAGGCATAGATAAAGTAGTAGAATAATTTTGATACAAATAACAATGATTCTTTTGCTTTTTTGGCAGATATCTTTGGAGTTTGAGAGATAAGATTACTAATTGTCTTAGCTTCTTTGGTACTTAGCAGAGTATATTTACCTTCTACTGTGTTCAGAAGATCATGAGGTTATTTTATTTATTCAGAGAAGATAAAAACTAGAAATTAGAACTAGGCCAGGTGTGGATGACACACACCTGTAAGGATCTGAGGATTGTAGTTCAAAGCCAGCTTGGCCAGGAAAGTCTGTAACATTCTTATCTCCAGTTAGCTACTAAGAACCCGGTAGTGGAGCTGTAGCTCAAGTGGTAGAGCACTAGCCTTGAGCAAAAAAAGCTTAAAGATAGCTCCCAGGCTCTGAGTTTAAGTGCCAGGAGCAGTGTGCACGCGTGTATGCGTATACACACACACACACACCCACCCACACAATTAGAATAGCCCTCATTCTTGAAGACCTTAATTGTACTTTGAAAGCTAGACAGTATATAAACAAGGCTAACAACACTTTAAGACTAGAACAAGGAGCCAGGTGCCAGTGGCTCACACCTGTAATCCTAGCTACTCAGGAGGCTGGCATATGAGGATCACGGTTCAAAGCCAGCAGGAAAGTCTGCGAGACTCTTTTTTTTTTTGGGGGGGGTCCGGTCGTTGGGCCTGAACTTTGGGCCTGGGCACTGTCCCTCAGCTCTTCAGCTCAAGGCTAGTGCTCTACCACTTGAGCCACGGCGCCACTTTCGGCTTTTTTCTTTTTGCTTATGTGGTGCTGAGGAATAGAACCCAGGGCCTCATGCATGCAAGGCAAGTGCTCTACCTCTGAGCCACCTTCCCAGCCCATCTGCGAGACTCTTATCTCCAATTAATCACCAGAAAACCGGAAGTGGCGCTGTGGCTCAAGTGGTAGAGTGCTAGCCTTGAGCTGAAGAGCTCAGTGACAGTGCCCAGGCCCAGAGTTCATGCCCTACAACTGACAAAAAAGAAAGAAAGAAAGAAAAGAACAAGAGCAAGTGAGTACATCATACATATCCTTGAGTTTGACTCAGCAAGAGAAGACCTTAAAAAATAATGTTAAATAATGTTAATTTTTTTTTTTTTTTGGTCACTCATAGGGCTTGAACTCAGGGTATGGGTACTGTCTCTGAGCTTTTATGCTCAAGGCTCTATCACTTTGCTCTATCATTGAGTCATAGCACACTTCCACTTTTCTGTTGGTTAATTGAAGCTAAGAGTCTCATGGTGTTTCCGACCTGGGTAAATGCAGGCTTTGAGCCTCAATCCTGAGATCTTAGCCTTACCCTTATGAGTAGCTAGGGTTATAGGTGTGAGCCACCAGCACCCAGCAAGACTTTAGTTTTTATCTTTATTTATCTTGTACTAAGAAGGATAATTTAGCATTCAGAGGCTAAGGGCTACTGGTATTAATTATCTGGAATTGTCTTAGATCTTTTTGTGTCCTGTTTTCCCAGAAAGAACTGGGAACCTTTGCTGAAAACTCCATCACTCTTCAGCAACAGTTCAACCCCAAGTTTCAGACCTTGTTCCAACCCTGTAACTTGATGGGAGCTATGCAGCTCATTGAAGACTTCAACACACATGTTCATATTGACTGGAGTCCTCGTAAAACTGTCAAGAAGACTGGTAGGGGACAGATGTGTTAACTTCAGGTTTTTATTTGCAATGAGAGATGAGTCAGATAATTTCCTAGGGATAAGGAATAGAATATTTTAGATTTCTTCCTTCTCTCTTTATCCTTCCTTTGTATTTTTACATTTTAGAGTTACCTGGTAATATCCATTCTTAAGTAAGGTATGGAGGCAGAAGACAGAAACAGAAGTGTGAGCAGGTAGAGATGTGGAACTTATAGTAAGAATTGGCTTAAATGAGATGTTAGGAAGTGTTAGGTGTCAATTCAAGACAACTGGCTTCTGGTAAAGATGGAAGTCAAAGCCTGGTGCCAATGGCTCATGCCTATAATCATTGCTACTCAGGAGGCTAAGATCTGAGAATCATGGCTCGAAGCCAGCCTTGGCAGGAACTCTGTGAGACTTTTATCTCCAATAAACTACTTAGATAAAGCCAGAAGTAGTGCTGTGGCTCAAGTGGTAGAGCACTAGCCTTGAGCACAAAGAAGCTCAGGGACAGTGCCCGGGCCCTAAGTTCAAGCCCCAAGATTGGCAAAAAAAAAAGAACAAAAAAGATGGAAGTCAAGTGTAAAGTTTGGTAATGTTTAGGTATTATGCTCTTATTCATGGATTGAGAGAATAGCTCAGAATCAACTCATTTTACTCCCATAATTATTGTATTATTGTAGAATAGGGTAGGTGGTATACCCATTCTGAATGAACTGTACATATGGAATTAGACACAAAGTTAGAGATGTTACGCATTTGCCAAATATATAACCTTATAACTAAGTGTAAGTTTAATTTCTATTTTTCATTGGCTTAGTGTTTATATATATATGTGTGTGTGTATGTATGTATATTTCCTTTCTTCCTCAAGGTAAATATTTCTTCTGACTTATTTCCTAATATAGTAAATCAGTTGTGGCTTATTTTGGATTTAGGTTTGTGTTTGGGCTTTTCTTTCAAGTTGAATATAGTTAAATTTAAGTGTATTCGGTCAGACTGATTACCACCTTCTTTAATTAGTGTAGCTGTGTATTGGTAATAAGAACTTCATTTAATACAAACTGTAGTAATGACTTTTACATTTACAGCCATGTGTTTTTCCTCTGGACATACAGAAAGAATATTAATACAAAGAGAAGTATGGATAGAGTAATTCATGTTTCTGGAAAGGTGTAGGCTCCTAAAACTGAGAAGCTTAGGGGGACAGAATCAGATGTACTGTCCCATTAATTTCATGGTTTTCTTGTTCTCAACCTTAGGAATAATATGGGTGAATTTAATAAAAAGTAAGTAAGAATCAGATAAAATGACACAGGCTTGTAATCCCAGCACTTTGGTGGCTGAGGCACAAGGGCCCCGAGTTTGAGGCTAGCCTACAAACAAAAGCCAAGCACTTGTGGCTCATGCCTGTAATCTCAACTACTCAGTACGCTGACACCTGGAGGATCAAGTAGCCTGAGCAGAAAAATCCACAAGACCCCATCTCCAAGGCATGATTCTGATCAAGAAGTATTGTGCTCAAACTAACATGTTGAATTGAAACCTTTTGTACAACTACTTAAAGATAATAAATTAATTGTATAAGTCTCTAGCTCCAAAATAAACAGCAAAAAGCCAGCATGGTTCAAGTGGTAGAGCACCAGCTGATCAAGCTTGAAGCCCTGAATTCAACAATACACAAAGCAACAGCAACAAAAAGTTGGAATACCAGACTTGTGAGGGAGATTAAAGAAGTTAGAATCTTGTCCTAGAAGAGAGAAAACATTATTGAAAGTCTCTTATTATTCAAGGAATTAAAAGTGCAAAGTGGTAAACATTTTTTAAGCATATACTATATGCTAGGTATTGCTAGGTACTGTCTAAGTGTTTATGTTATTAGTATGTTAACATGTTCCACACAGGAAGGATAGGAGTATCAACTTATA